AAGGAAAGGAAAGGAAAGGAAAGGAAAGGAAAGGAAAGGAAAGGAAAGGAAAGGAAAGGAAAGGAAAGGAAAGGAAAATGGTCAAGCTCCAAGGGGGACTTAATTCCACCAGAGATGCTAAAATTAAATCCCAAATGGTGGACCTCTCTATTCAGCCACATCAATTATTCCCTGCAGAGTCCTGAAGAATGAAATAATTCCATAATAGTACTGATTTCCAAAAAAAGAAAAAGACAATTAAGATCAACTCAGACAACTATAATCCAATCAGCCTGTATATATGCAGCAATTTATTCAGAACAGCTCTATTCAAAACTTGCTGACTGCATCAATCCAGGAAAAGTTTTAGCAGAGGAACAATCTGGCTTTAGACCTGTCTTTGTAATAGTGGATCACTGTATCAACTTGTACTACCTGTCTGCAAAGTATGTCATTCTACCAAGAGCCTCTTTCTATGCTGCTTTATAAATTTGAAGGCAGCATTTGATTCAACACCTTCAGAGAGGTTATGGTGAAAATTGGCAGCATCTTGCATTGATCATCATTTTCTTCAACTTGCAACTGTGTTTCATAAGAGCACTACAATGAAGGTTAAATGTACTAATGGCAAAAAATTGACTGAGGCTTTCTCAACACCCAAAGGAGTCAAACAGATATATTTTGGGCCCCTGCTATTTAATTATGATATTAATGATATCATACAAGCCCTTACCAAAGCTGATTTTCACTCTTTGTCCCTAACTCATCATTATATATGCTGATGATACTGCTACCCTTTCTGCAACCCAAGTGGATAACTATCCTAGAGGAACTTAGATTTAATATATATATAAAGAAAGTTGTCCAGAAATTAAGCAAGGCTGTATTTAACTATGAGAGGAAAAAAAATGTCAAAAAGATTAATTAGAAGGAAATTGAAGAAAGATTCCACACACTGAGCGATCTTCAGGATAATTTAGCTTATTTAAAAGTGTAAAGGGAGAAGGGAAAATTAAAGAAGGTGGAAATAACCTATGATGGAGAACAAATTATATTGGTTTCTATTTTTTTTAAAAGAAAAAATAACAGAAATAATGCAAAATAATACATTCTAATAGAAGAAATATATTAGCAATAACATAATATATAGAAGAAGATGGGGAATAAATTTTAAAATGTATTAATAAAATAATTAAGGAACTGGAAATATTCAAATCTGCTTAGAAATTAGCGCTTTTGGATTCTTCCTTTCTTGAAGTGTATCTATCCCAGCATGTTCTTTTCTTATTATGCCATTTATAATTGATGCCCTTTTTGAGTTTCTCTTTTCTTTCCTTTTTCATTTTGTGTCTGTCTTTTTTTGTTGTTTGTAATTAATCTGTAATCCATTCTAGATTTACCAGACCAGCACTGTAACACTCATAAATCAACAATACAAACATGTTTGGAATATTGCAGTTCTGGTTATTCTATCTCAAAAAAAGTATAGTAGATCTAGAAAAGATGCAAAATAGGATAAAATGATCAAAGTGTTGTACCACTTTCCTTACAAAGGAACTGGGGCTTGTAGTTTAGAAAAAATTACAATGTGGAGTATAATATTAGTTTATAAATTAAGTAGAATGTGGTAAAAGCAACTAAAAGAGTTTCTTTCTTTGCCATAATATTAAAATTTGGCTTCATCTAGTGATGTTGCTACTAAATTTAGAAAAGACAAAAGCCTTATTAACGCAAAGTTTTATTATTTTCATATAGTGAACTTGCTACCAGCATGCTTCGGCCTTCAGTAATATAAAACAATATGTATTATTTAAACTGGCCACTAGGTGTCAGAACTGCACTGCAAGAGAAACAAACCTGCAGAAGCTTCTACATATATCTTGCTTGACTTAAGCATCTATCTATATCCTAGTTTACATGTCTAAAATATATTTTCTAACTACATTCTGAACAATTTATCTACCTGGGCACTTGTACACCACCATCATTTCCACTCCCCAATCCTTTCTAAGCAGTTCTAACATTAATTTTCACAGCCATAACCTTGGATTGCTTAAAATAGCATGAGTTCTTTCTTCCACCTATCCAACAGGAGAGTGCAAAACCAGCATTTTAACTCAGTTAAACCATGTTGTTAAACCACATTTTTAACTCACATTATGTGCATTTACCCATAAATGATCCATTGTTATGGGGGGGAGTTGGAAAACCACAAAGCACCATCCCTTTGTTTCATATGGCAGCAAAACTTCTGTGGGGATAAGAGAGCCAAGTTGGAATAAGTGCTGACCAATAGGATAATGATCCACTCATAAGACATATACAGGTTTAGCACTGCAAATAGCAAGATCATCTTTCCTGCAATTGTAAATACTCTGCAGCTGAGTCAGAAATAAATCAGCTCAGCTGGTGAAATGAGACATTGGCTTGAGATCACACAGGTGCAAAGTTACTTCTGAAGTGGTGTAAATTCCCTGTGTGTGGCAGTCTTTTACCCGTGAGGTCTTTTTAAATGTGTGTCTATTACAAAACAGTAAAGGAACAGGGTTCCTGCTTTCCACTCATTTTTACTGTATGTAGCTTTAAAGCACTGTAAAGAAAGAAATTATCTTTCTTCACCTTTACACATAGATTACTATGTATTGAACTGAAATAGATGCTTGCTTTATCATGCATTTTCATCTGATCTTGCCTCTAAATAAACATACTGGAAATGCAAAAGGAAGGATTATAGCTTGATGGTACTGGATATGCATTATATGCAAAAGATCCTAAATTCAATCTCCATTTAAGGCCAGGAAAGTCTTGGGAGAACTCCTGCCCATCAGAATAGGCAAGCCCTTCCTAACATAATGCCCTCCAAATGTGCTTAATTTATTATATTCCAGCATTATGGAGTATTTGTCTAGTGCCTGGGATGATGAGAGCTATATTCCTACGTCTAGAGGGCAACAAGCTGGAGAAGCCTGGTGTAAATATTGAGCTGATGGACTGATTTTTAATTCCTCTCTTCTACTGAACTTCTATTCAAAACATGCCATATACCGCTATCTTGTTGTTTTATCAGTGATCAACAAAATATTGAAGATTAAAAAAAGAAAAAGATGCAAGATGTAAAAGAAAAAAAAATGGAAATGTGTACTTTTGTAATCTTAATGAGAAACATGATTTTAGACATCCATATTCAGTATTACCAGCCCAAAGACATTTGTATCAAATGGAGTAAATTACTCCATTTATAATTTTTAATTATACTAGTCAATATAATTTAAAAAATAGAAAGTAAATGTGAGCAAGTCTGTACTTTTTACATGTATTATGTCTTCAGCCACTGTTATGTCCCTCGTTTCTAAGTAGCATTGATTCAAGGAAAGTAATTTCGTTTTTCAACGTTTTGCACTAGCAAATCTGACAACCAGCAACAAAAATCATATTAATTTCCTGTGCTGCATCATTTTGTAAGTAAAGCTGCTGCTGTTATGTAATTTTTCCAGTCTCTTCAAAATCTAAACCAAACTAAATGGACATTACTACCGGAGATGTTAATATGTACTAAATCACTTTTACTTTTTTTGTTTTAAGAAAGGGCACTGATTATTTCAAAGCAATACAGTTAAAAAGAGCATCAAACCCTTTATGTTTATTCTAACTTTATGTCTCCGAAATTCTTGCTTCCAACATCTTAAATTCTCCAAAATGCATTTGAGAATCAGCTAGTCGCATCAAAGAAAACAACAGAATCTGCACCTCGAGGTTTCCAGTCGCCTCTGAATTTTTTAAAGAAAAACTATAACTCCCATAATGCTTTCTTAGACATGCGCAGTGACAACGATGAGAACGGAAATGCGTGCGTACTCCACAAGTCCCGCCTCTCCCCATCGGACGCCATTTTGTCACCGACTTTCACCCGCCACACGACGGTGCTTTTTTTTCTTAAAGGAGAAGCGACAATGTTTTTTTTTTTTTTTAATCCCCAGCAAGTATGAAACACCGAAAAATGCGGTCGATGTGAAAACGAGGAAACAGGTTTTTGGAAGGTACCTCCTCTCTATCCGTTTCACTCTTGAAAATAGAAGCTCGGGGATACTAGACCGGCCAGACTGCGGGGCGTGTTGTGAGGAGGAGGAGGAGGGGGCGAGTGCGACGGCAATAGGACGAGCGACTCTTCTAGTTTTATTGCTGTCACTGCAGAGCAAAAAATGTTCTGGAGTTCAAGATAAAACGCGTGGGACATTTACAAGCGCATTTTCTGCAGGGCAACGGAGGACATTTAATTTGGCGCGCGGGAGGTAACTGTTAAAACGGCTCAGTTATGCGAAGCGCGCGCCACGGCCAGAATTCCGACAGCACACCCGCGCGCGCGTTCCCGGTGAACCTCGTACGCTGATTGGTCTGGAGAGAACCAGCCCGGCTTGCTGCTGTCATTGGCTGGCTTGGGAGAGAGGTGGGTGAGGTGTGTCTTTGCATTTCTGTCCCGATTGGGTGACACGGAGAGATCTTGCATCCTGTTTGAACTCCGAACTTGTTCTTGATTGGCCAAAGTCCCACGCGAGGGGCGGGAGCTCCCGTACAGAGGCGGAGTGAACGGCGGGTGCTGCTGTCAGGACCAGGAGGGGGGGCCGCTGTTGGGGCCTCCTCTGCTAGCTGCTCTGATGCCGGGGGCGCCCGAGCAGGCGGAGACCCAGGAGGAAGAGCCACAGCGGCAAGAGAGAGAAGAGGAACGGACTCCGCCTCCTAGCGTCC